TCGGTGCCTTGCTCAAGGGCACCTCAGTCGTGGTATTGAAGGTGGGAGAGAGCGCTGTACATTCACTCCCCCCACCTACAATCCCTGCCGGTACGAGACGCGAACCCACAACCTTTGGGTTATGAGTCCGACTCTCTAACCATTAGGCCACGACTTCCCCAAAAAAGAGATGGCAGTGCTTGAAGATGAATACGAGAAAGTACTTGTGATAGCATTTTGCTTTCCTTAATGTAATATCTGATTTGTGGATGAATAATGGGCTCATTTATTAATAAGCTCTGTTTTTTGGGATATATCTAATTTTGTGGAGGGGGGGGATCTTCTGACCAGCTGGATCTTCATAGTCTGGCGGAGCTACAAAGTCAAGGAGTTCCTCACAAGGACGACTCCCCAAAATACTGTTACAGTCTGGGGACTGATGGAAAATATGGTAATGGAGGGTGAAAAGATAATGTCAGGCAGTTAAATATTTACCGCACAGTGACACGCTAAAAAACACTCGGAATACTTTGGTAACCGCACAGCGGTAACCGCACAGCGACACACTAAAAAACACTCTGAACACCTCGGTAACCGCACAGTGACACGCTAAAAACCACTCGGAACACCTCGGTAACTGCCCAGTGACATGCTAAAAAACACTCGGAACACCTCGGTAACTGCCCAGTGACATGCTAAAAAACACTCGGAACACCTCGGTAACTGCCCAGTGACATGCTAAAAAACACTCGGAACACCTCGGTAACTGCCCAGTGACATGCTAAAAAACACTCGGAACACCTCGGTAACTGCCCAGTGACATGCTAAAAAACACTCGGAACACCTCGGTAACTGCCCAGTGACATGCTAAAAAACACTCGGAACACCTCGGTAACTGCCCAGTGACATGCTAAAAAACACTCGGAACACCTCGGTAACTGCCCAGTGACATGCTAAAAAACACTCGGAACACCTCGGTAACTGCCCAGTGACATGCTAAAAAACACTCGGAACACCTCGGTAACTGCCCAGTGACATGCTAAAAAACACTCGGAACACCTCGGTAACCGCACAGTGACACGCTAAAAAACACTCTGAACACTTTGGTAACCGCACAGCGACATGCTAAAAATCACACGGAAACACCTCTGTAACCGCACAGCGACACGCTAAAAATCACTTGTAACACCTCGGTAACCGCACAGCGACACGCTAAAAACACTCTGAACACCTCGCACCTCGGTAACCGCACAGTGACACACTGGACCAGACCAGCTTTTACACAGAGCAGGGTGGACAGGCACACGACCAGGGTTACTTCACCAAGGATGGACTGCAGGTTATTGATCACATTCCATCTGAGATGTCTTATTTTTATGTATAAGCACAAGTTTCACCATTGTGGTTATTCTTTGCAGGATGTGCTGTTCCCTGTAAAGTCTGTCCGTCTGGCTGGGGGTTATGTGGTACATCAGGTCACAGCAGCAGAGACTTTGAGAACTGGAGACCAAGTGCAACTTAAATTGGATGAGGTGGGAGTAGTAGGAGCAAAAGTACCAACACCATGGTAATACATTATGCAGATACCTTACAGTAAGTGTTGCATTTCCAACTCTAGGCTAACCGTATGGGCTGCATGGTCAAGCACACGGCCCCACACTTGCTAAACTTCGCTCTGCGAGAGTTGCTAGATCCTTCTGTTAGCCAGCGAGGGTCTCACTGCACCGCCAACCGGCTCCGCTTCGACTTCAGCGTGAAGGTACAATGGCTACGAGGCTGCCTTGGTGATTTAATGATTTCCAAAATGTTTAAAGGGCTCCCTGAGTGTTTCTGAGCTACAGCAAATTGAGGAGTTGGTCCAGAACATCATTCGTCAAAATGCAGAGGTGTATGTAGAGGAGATCCCCCTGTCCAACACTAAACAGATTATGGGTCTGAGAACAATAGATGAGGTAAATGGGGATGACTCAATACCACTTTCTCATTTCCAATACTGCAAATACAAAACCAATTCAACCGAAAGTCCTATCCATATCAGACCAATATTGAATATTGAATTGTTGCATCCCTAGAGGTATATATATTTTCATGGTGTAAAATGGGGAGTCCAGTCCTGCTCCTGGAGACCCAACCTCTAGGGATGTCCCAATCAAGTTCGTTGTGTCCCCGATCTGATCCAAGTCATTTAATATTGAGTATCTGCCAATACCGAGTCCTGATTTGATACTTGTACCTTCCTAGTGCTAGGTGCACACTTTAAAGTTTTTTTTTTTTAAATCAATCCAATGTATACAAGCACATGCAGAGAGTTCCTCAGGGGCAGGGCCTCAAATGTAAAAAAGGGGCATCTGTAACTAAGGAGTAGTTCTGATATAGGGCTGGGCGATATAGCTAAAAAATGTATCAACGATATAATGCTTCATGTCGTTCGGTATCGATAATTATTGAAATTTTTATAACGTTTTTTAAAAATAGAAAAAAAGTTTACATTTAACCACTGTATTTTTAAATTAACCTAATTTATTGAGACAAACAACTAATTTGTTTTGGTTTTAACAGTCAAACACACAATAAAAATTATCTAATTTCTAATGTTTTATAACAAATATCTAATTTCTAATGTTTTATATGCAGATTAAATAGATTTTAAGGAAACTTTTGTCTTGTCTCCCGAGGCCACAGGAGGGCGCAATGAGCAAAATAATGCAGCACATAATGTCAACGCATGGAAATAACTGTCTATAAAAAAACGTGCATTACATCTAAATTAACTCATATAAATCAAATATAATTTCATATTTTTCAAATTACATTTTTTTTTGCATAAACAATTATGAACAAAACGGTATCATGTATTTATGCATTGCTTAATACAAAGAGCCAAATCGGCCATCATGCAGATTGCATTTAAAAACATAAGCGAAAGTGAAAAGGAATAAACCTCCACAAATTTGCGACGTGTTTTCTAAAAGTTTAAACTGTTTTAACTTTGCATGGCTACATCTCTTGTGTGAGACGCGAGTGCAGCAGTCATATTTGCCCGTCTAAAAAATGCATTGAATATGCGTTCTGTGTGAATGGCTTGGTTTCATTTTTAACCTAATCCAGATCTTCTCCGCATTTAGCTTCTATATTTCTCTAATATTTTGAATGAATAATGCAGCAGCGGCGCATCTTGTGGGCTAGACTAACAAAACATTAAAATGCAACAACGTCACTTATATCATCATCACCGCATCTTGTGCGCCACTGATGACGCTCCCTGATGCACACCTCACATTCAAATGCAAATGTTTATTTTAAATTCGACTAATATTCATCACAGGCAGGCACAGCACTCATTTTAGCATGTTCATGTTTGTGTGTACTGTCTGCGTCACTCATAGCACGTGCCTATATCGTGCACTATATCGAACATTTTAATATCGTTATCGAAGAAGGTTTACCGTCGATAAATATCGATACCGTTTTATCACCCAGGCCTATTCTGATATAACAATTACTATAGTACAGTGGATTTCGAACAGGTTCCTGGAGCCCAGCCTGATTTAGGTCATCATCTATTTAGTAGAGACTCCAAGATATAAAATAGGAGCAGAAAAACAATAGTGGAGATAAGGTTAGAATAGATGAACCTTGTGATGTTAGAATGGTAGTCTGTCAGTCAAGTCACCTACCCTGACAGTTGACATACAGTGGGGGGAAAAAGTATTTAGTCAGCCACCAATTGTGCAAGTTCTCCCACTTAAAAAGATGAGAGAGGCCTGTAATTTTCATCAAAGGATCGGGCTGCACAATGGCAGAGGTGAGAGTTCCAGACTCGGCTGAAAGCAATGCAGAAGACTAGCAACAACACCATCAGAAAATTGGAGATCAAAGAGGTAGACACGTCTATAGGCAAAAAATTCAGTCTATAGCCCTATTCGGACGGGACTAGTTTTCTTAACTATATTTGAGTTTTGATTCTTATCACATGACGTCTGTGATTTTCATGTACTAATTCGAATGGGACTAACATCTCCATGATTATTACGGAGGTGTGAGGGTCTGTTTTGTACATCTTGGCGTTGCAGAGATCACGCGCTCTGTATGCATGCATTGCGTATCATTCGGATTGATTACCATTAGTATAAACACAGGTTTACTACGAATAGCCTACTATGGTTAAGCTAGGGCTAGTATAGCAAAACCATGGTTAATTTGTGGTTACTTTAGTTTAACTATTTTATTTATTTATTTATTTGTAGGAAAGCTATGTTTAATTTTCATGAAGGTACACATGTAATTAAAACTATGTAATTGAGTGCAGGAATGAAGGGGAGTAATCTTACCTGATGCTGATATTACAGTAGCCATTCTTAACAGTTTAAGTTATGTGATCTGGCTCTTGATTTTATTATTACTTTTTTTTTTCTTTGCCATGAGGCAAACATATAAAAAATGTGCAAGGTAAGAGCGTCGACGGTAGTTCATGTTGGCCAAAACACACAAGGAAACACATTAACACATCGGTAATCACAGACATTCGCATTCGGACTGGATTATAGTTTTCACGGAGTTTGCGAAAAACGGTGGGTGATTTGCTCTCTAATTATTACAGAGGTTGTATGAGGAAAAACACAGACATGGCAGATTCGGACAGGATTAAAAAAACTGAGAACCACACCGCTGTGTGGTTACCAAATACGCAAAATACATCTGTGCAACACAAATTTCTTTAACGACCCCCTGTAAAACTAGTCCCGTCCGAATAGGGCTTATGATGCCCAGAGTTGGGTATAACGTGTGACACCATATACATGTTACTGTATTCAAATTACTTTTCCTGATAATGCAGTAATGTAATGCATTACATTTTAGGTTTGTGTAATTTGATTACAGTTACTAATTTAAATAAAATTGTTATACAAATGCAGTGTTAAGAAAAAGAGATGTATTAGCAATTAGTAATGGGATTACTTTTTGCATGAAGTATTCAGTAATGCAGTCAATTGCAATTTGAAAGTAGTAATTAGTAATTTGTAGTAGATTACTTTTTTGAGTAACTTACCCAACACTGAAGATGCCTATCAAATGATGCCGCTGGGTAGTCATTCCTGTCACATCTGCTTTGTGAGGTTTTGTTGATATGTTATCTGTTTTTTTTCTGCTTCAGGCTGCCTTGAAAGCCAAAGAGCTGCTGGTTAAACACTCTAATAAACCTGTGGTGGTGGACTTGATCCATACAGACTCGATATCGTTAATTACTAAGTTTTGTGGTGATGTTTGATGATTGTATTTGTGTCAAATGTAAACAATTTGTATACATGCGATCTTGTTTAGGTGCTGATGAAGACTGTGCTCCAGCTGAGCGAGAGTACTCCAGACTCCATGGTTATGTTGTTATCTCACCTGCAGTTGTCAGGAAAGGTGCTTTGTGCCTGCCAAGTACCCAAGGTACAGCACACACAAAATCTCACAACTATGATATAATTATCCACAGGTATGTGATTGTCTTCTTACTCTCTTCCTAGGGCTCTGCCAGGGGCTCAGCCCTTAAATGGGCTCATTCTGTGTGTGCACGCTTGGGAGGAAATGCAGACGGCTCTATCGATGTGCTAAATGTGTAGGAAAAGCAGCCAAACTCACAGATATTACAGACATCTTGCAATTGGCTAAAGAATTTGCGCAAAACAAAATCCAAAAGGCATCCTGAAACTAATCTTGGATACCACAATGGATGTATTTCATCAAAATGGTTAAATCAATCAAAAATATACTTCCTGTTCCTTTGTTTTCAAATCCTTTGTTGGGATTGTGAAATTTTGATATTAAACATTGCCATTAGGTTATTTATTGCTCTGTTTTGGGTACACTGTATAATAGTAGGTTTGGTTCAAGAAAATTTTATTAAATTCAAGGAATGGCATTTGCTCTGTTAAGAATTTATAATTGTTAATACATGATTGATATAATTTCTAATCTGCCTGATTGTGTCAGTTAAATGTTACAATAATGGTGTTTGAAATACTGTAGAAACATGGTTTAGTGCAGGGATCCTCAGATCTGGCCCACGAGATCCACTTTCCTGCAGAGTTTAGCTCTAACCCTAATCAAACACACCTGAGCATGTTAATCAATGTCTTCAGGATCGTTAGAAAATCACAGGTAGGTGAGTTTGATCAGGGTTGGAGCTAAACTCTGCAGCGCATTGGCCCCCCAGGGCAAGACTTGAGGAACCCTGGTTTAGTGTGTCAGAGCGCCACCCTGCTGGCTAGAGTT